TCTATCTCTATCCATATCTATCTCTATATCTATCTCTATCTCTATCTATCTCACTCAATCTATCTATCTCTATCTCTATCTATCTCTATCTATCTCTGTCTATCTCTATCTCTCTCTATCTCTCTCTATCTCTCTATCTCTCTATCTATCTACCTATCTATCTATCTATCTATCTATCTATCTCTATCTATCTAAGCCTTTGGGGTCAAGGCAGCTGTCCTGACATGGACGGACTTGTCCCCGGACTTCGTCATGGAGGCTGCGGCCCAGCATAGCAGATTCTACCGCGGGTCTGGGCTCCCACTCCTGCTTTCGTGGCTCTCGCTGGCTTGCAAGCACCTCCATCCGGTGGACTTTACCTACCTGATCTTCGAGCTGAGCTTGACCTCCCGGCCCCAATTCCGGGCATCCTGCAACGAGACTCAGATTTGATAACAAGAGCTTTCGCAGGATGGAAGGGAAGGGTTGGGGACCAGTTTTTTCGATCACGTCATTAGCGCTCCTTCCAAATTTTGTGGCTTAGGGTTACCCGCGTCCTCCGGGACACCGAATTCAACAAACAATATCAAGACGGCAAAGCGCAGCTACAAACAACTTGCAGCCAGACTTCGGAAAGACGGATTTGCCGTCTACCGTGGACTTGTCCATCACAGTGTGCCGCAAGATAAACAAAGCCCTGCACTGGTCTCACCTCCATGGCATGCAGCACCACCTCGAAGGAGACGTCCACGTGCCTCCGTGTTCAGTTGGAATTGCTGCGCCCTTACTGGAGGTGACTATGCTGAGCTGCTCTGGTGGGTCACGAAGCATGACTTTGATATTGTACATTGTACTTCTTCAGTCAGCCCGCTGGAGTGCCCATGAGCCTTGGGTCACCGGGGAGGAGGGCTGTTGACCCTGATAAAGGCAAGCTTTTGCCATATGAACAACAGCAGCATGAGAGACATCATACCTGGAAGGATACATCACACCCGCTGCTATACGAGCAATGGCACCATTGATGTCATCAATGCCTATCAATTTCCAACGGGCATTACCAAACTCCGTAAACAATCCGATGGCCTCTAGGCAAAAATTCGGGCCCGCGGCCCAACTAGACAGTTTGTTGAGATCCCTGCCTTTTCGCAACTGCATGGTGCTGGACGGAGACCTGAACACTACACTGACCACTAGGAGCTCGACGACGACAGATCAACCTGCCTTCCTCGATTTGATGCAGGTTCACGGATTGCCTCTCTACGAGCTCATGACAAAGAATACAGCTTCGTGGGACCAAGAGGTCGCAGCAACATTGACTTCTTGCTCATGCGGAGACCTCAGACCGACGAACTGTCCTTAGGGAGTACCCTGATCATAGACCACTTAAGGTGTGGACGCACAATGTCACTCACAATCGTCCCAGGTTTGCGCATTTTTCGACCCACATCCTTATGCAGGAGCGCCAGAACCAGACTGACAATTGGACTTGACTGGTCCAGCTCAGAGGAGACGATCCAACAGGCTGGCGCACTCGACTTCGATCAACCAACTTGATAAAATCTCCAGCGTATGGATCAAACCGCAAGGTTCCACTGTGGGTTGAGCCTCGGACCTTTTCCTTAGTCGCCACAAAATGGCGCCATCTTCAAGAGGCCAGGACTTGTTCGTGCAACACACCCACTCTTGGACAGATTTTTCATTGCTGGTTCCACTATAGCAAACATCGACAAGTACATCTGCAGTTGAAGCAATACAGCAAGACTAAATGGAAAGAACGAATTGTTGAGGTCACAGAACGAGCTTGTAAGGCCGCTTCCCAAACATGACTCTCGAGGACTTTATGAGGCCATCAGAACCTTGACTCCCAAGCTCACCAGGAAACCAATCCTTTTTATGGCCAGGGCAATCTTCTTGATCCAACTGAAGAATTATGACTTCTTGCAGACCACTTCCGGGCCATTTTTCAGGCTGCTTCAATCAGTGAACTGGACTTTCACGCACCGCCCTTGATCCTCACCCAAGAAGAAATAGAACGGCAACTCCTTGAGATCAAAGACAACAAAGCAGTTGCTCCCAACTCTATCCCGGTGGTCTTGGTGAAAGCGCTCGCAGGCCCATTGGCCACATGGATCCATCAATTCCGGGACCAGAAATGGCGGACCAATCCCCAGATTCCGCAATGTTGGAAAGATGCCAGCCTAACGTTGTTGCCAAAAAGACAAGTCAAGCAGCCTACAGATCTTTGTCCAATAGCGCTCACAGAATTAGTGGGAAAAGCGATTTTGGGCGGCTACACAAAGCGCGCCAAGGCTGCCATGCTCCCCACGCTGGTGACCATGCCACTTCTTGTCAGAGGAGTGGCGGAGGCCCTGGTTACAGTCTTCGATTTTTGTGCAGACATACGTGAACAATGTGCCAAGCATGCTGCAAGTCCCTGCTAGACCTCAAGAAAGCCTTCGACAGACTTCCTCGAGATGAACTTGTACAGGAACTCAGAGCTCGCAGCTGCCCTGAAAACGTCACCACAGTAGGTTGACAGATGCAAGGTATGCCATCCAACATCGAGGACTTCACACCTGGCTCGTGCGGCAGGGATGCAAGGCTTCACCAATAGAATGGACTGCCTTCTTGGCTTTTGGACCACTAGCGCTGAGCGTTTAAACCGACGCATGTCCAAACGACGCAAGACCCATCATCTCTATGAGCGGCTTGAACCACTTCGAGACGCAAAAGAAGGGAGACCTGAATGATTGCAGCAAACGGCTTGCCACTTGGGGAGGTTTTGGGACTCACATTCGACGGGGTCACTGTTCTGCCTCCATGCACATTGACTGGCAGGTACCCTATGCTGATCGTGAAGAGTTCAGGGGCGGACGCTTTCCTGCTGTTCCTCCAATTTGCTCCAGCGGGCATTGTCCCGACTCTACTGAAGAAGTCGCAGGATTGGAAGGCAGCAACGGAAGCCAAGACAGCCGCACAGGCCTGAAGCACCTGCTCTTAGTCTTCCAGACCATCGTTCAGACCATCCAGGATCGATTCCTACGCATTGCTCAGGCCTTTGGCGGGCTCGGACATTTGGAACCAAGCCACGGCCCATCTGGTCATTACGGAGAGCGGCTCATGGCCCTACTTAGCATGGAACCCCAAGGAAAAACGGATGATGGCCACGGACAAGGCCCCCATCACCATGCAGAGCATGGAGTCAGTGATCGAAGAGCTGGTGGAACTGGCCTCACAGCCCGAGACGATTCTGAGACTGAAATGCGAGAGAAGAAGGATGGCAACAGATCCCCTGTCAGCCCTTGGCTGATCCAGCTCAATCCACGGAAGGAGAGGATCTACGAGATTCATTCTGCGCTTGCTCACAACCTCCTCGGTCTGGGTGCTGGTGGTGGGTCGCCTTCGACTGGCCTCCCAATTCATCAAGACGCGCAGCAGCGTGTCCAAAAAGAAGCGCTCGCTGGTTGGCTGACCTCCCTGCGCTTGGCCAATGAGGGCAACTGCTGCTATCAGAACTCAGTCACCCTGACCTTTCTGTGATGCCCGACTCAGACGAAGAACGCGGTCTGGCAAGAATTTGGCATACTTTGGCCAGCTGTTTAGGCATGAAAGCTTTTGGGTCTCCCTGAAGCGGCTAGCGAACCTGAGGCCATTTCTTGAGACATGGGGCAGCAGGAGGCTGCAGAATTCCTAGGCCTTTCTGCAATGGGTTCGTCCTGAGTGTTTGAACACGCACTGGAAAAGAAGAGCGCAGGTGGCCTCATGCATTTGTGTTGCAGACGAAGGCTCGCAGTACACACCTCCCACAGTGTATGTGGCTACAGCCACCGCCAAAAGCATTGGACTCCAAAAGCTCATTGACAACTGGACCTCCTACTCGGGCATGAGCGCGGCGTTCACACACAGCAGTAAGTTGGTGACCATACACATCGATCGCTTCACTGCTGACGACTCAGGCCAGATCCAGGAGCAGGGTTGGGAGCTCACTTTGCCGGATGTGGTCTTCCTTCTTGTGCAGGCAGAGGACTCGTTGGCCACCATTGCCATTCCTTATGCAGTGGCAGGAGGCCTGCTTCACCGAGGCGACGACGCCTCAGGAGACATCGCACTGCTGAGGGATGGTATCTCTTCGATGATCAGACCGAG